GCTGGGCCAGTTCGGTCTGTGTCCGGAGGGGGGGGCATGCACGGTGCTGGGACGGTACTGTGCATGTCACTGTGGGGGTGGATGTCGCGGGGGTGCAGGGTGCTGGCCAGGTTCGGTCTGTGTTGCTGGGGGGGGATGATGCTGGGCCTGTCCCCGTCTGTGTTGCTGGGGGTGCATGGCGGGTGCCCCATATGTCTCTGTTCCTGGGGGTGCGTGGCAGGTGGCGCTTGGCTGGCTCGGTCTGTGTCACTGGGGGGGCGGGGGGGCACTGTGCTGGCTCTGTGATGCTGGTGGCGAGGGCGCACGACGCTGGGCTGGTTCTGTTTGCGTTGCTGGGGTGGGGATGGTGATGGACCAGTTCTGTCCATGTTGCTGGGGGTGGGCGCAGGGCCCTGGGCTGGTTCTGTCAGTGTTGCTGGGGTGGGGGTGTGCATGGCACTGGGAGGTTTTGTCTGTGTCCCTGCGGGGGTGATGGGCTGGTTCCCTGTGTGTTGCTGCTTGTCCCGGTGAGCAGGGGCCTTGCTGGGCTGGGTGAGTTTGTCTGCAGTCGGCTACTTAGCCGGTGCCCGGTGGGATTGCAGGATGAGCCCGGCGTGCACAGCGGGGTGATCCTTACTCTGGGGCTAGCTTGGAAGGCCGGGGGCAGAGCCAGCCACCTGAGTGAGTTTGGCCGGGGACTTCGAGGGATTCAGTGGGTTTGTGTGATGGTTCTTCTTCTCCGTAGGTGAGCCCTCTGCCGAGGGAAGGACCCCTCTGCTCCTGGGCCAGGGAACCATGTCCCGTCGGAAACAGACCACTCCTAATAAAGTGCATTGTGAGTATTGTGCCCCATGCTATGGCGGCACCCTTGCCTGGTCGCATTTCCCTGGAGTTGGGCGGGGGGGGGACGAGATTGGGGGATGTAGAGTTGGAATGGTCAGAGTGGTGTAGTTGTGCTCTGTGGGAGTGGGAAGTTACGGCACTGGCCGCGCTCTGGCATGAGTGGCAAGGCTAGGCATGGACATGCAGCACACCTGAGTAGATGTGTTTGTGCAGGGGATGCCAGCCGCACTTAGTCATCTCATTTCACAGATGAAAGTGCCCTAGGAAATGTGGTGTTTGGCTTTTGGGCTCGGCCTGCCTTTTGGACAGTGAAGGAAATTTTGGGCTGTGTGCTCTGAGAACATGGCTGGGTGCCAGGACCTCCTGGGTCTGATCCTTGCTCTGCCACAGACTCACTGGGTAACCTTGGACAAGTCACCCGGGCCAGGTCTGCCCTACTGACCTATATCGGTATAACTATGTCGCTCAGAGGTGTGAAAAATCCACACACACCCCCCAGGCGATGTAGTTCTACCGACCTAACCTCCTGTGTAACACTAGGTTGTGGGAGAGCTTCTCCCGTCGACATAGCTACCATCTCTCGGGGAGGTGGATTAATGACACCAAGGGGAGGAGCTCTCCTGTAAGCATAGGAGAATCTTCACTAAAGCGCTACAATGGCACCACTGCAGTATGTGAAGGCAAGGCTTTAGTCACTCTGTGCCTCAGTTTCCCTCCCTGCAGTGATGATGATGAGATGGGTAGTTTAACTGGCTCATGGCCAGATAGATACTGCCTAGATTACACTCCCTGTTAGCTGAGAGGTGACCCTGTGTTTCTCGAGCAATGTCAAGCACCCAGCCTTTGGTTACTGTTGCAGGAGTTGCAGTCACTGTGTGCGTCAGCACTGACTGTAGACACGTAGTGAGCCGTCACGGAGCTAGGAGACAGGCACACAAACTTTCAGTGACAAAGGGGGCACTGCACAGCTCCAGCTTGTTTCTGCATGACTGCATCAGAGTGCGGGGAGTGGAGTGCGCTGTCACCCACCCAGAAGGATAGTTGGGGTTGCACGCACCCCTGGGGCTTCGGCTGAGCTCATAGACTCGTGTATCTCCTATGAGAATTGTGAAGTGGGGGATGAGAGGCTGGAGTCCTTGCTACGAATGGAGTGCCTGGTAGGAGTGCAAGACTGAGAGCAGAATGCTGCAGCTAGAACAGTCCTACCAAACGCCGCTCTTGGCTGTTGCTACCACCTTGCGTGCATTTGTGTGTTTCTCTCTGCTGTCCTTATGTGTGAATGAGGCAATAGAAGTCTACACATGCTGCACTCTGCACAGCCAGTGGGTGTTTGGGGAGATTGTCACAGGGATTTGGAAAACCCCAAGAGCCCAAGAGAGGCATGGGAGCAGGAGAAGGCCTCCATGGTGGCATTGCCAGAGGTGCCAGCGGTGACTTTTGGCAGCTGCCCGGCAATTTGTATTCTCCGATTCCTATTCCTCTGTGTTTGGTTTGAGACTGAGCACAGGATAGCTGTGACTTGCTGCCTGGTGCATTAACTCTTGGGCCTTGTTTTCACAAGAGACATTTGGGGCACTAACCACTGTGTGGTCTCTCCTAGCACGCCTGTAACACACCTCGCGTCCACACACACAGTGCACAGGCATTACAGCTATCATTTGGGTTAGATTTGCTTTGAGCACATGTCAAGGGAGATCAGTGGATGAGATGAGTGACATAACAGCTCTCACAGTACAAATAGCCTTCCCCCTCCTGTCCCACAGTGCCTAACTGGCCTGTCTGGTCTGTTTGCTGCACTCCGCTGCACTCCACTGCACAGGGGTGAAGTTATTCGGAAGCTAGTAATTTGTACGTATAGCACCGCACACACTGGAGTTCAGTTGTGCACTATTTTCACAGTGAACAAGATCTTCTATTTCTGCAATATCTGATTCTATCACCATGTCTCAGAGGAGACCATCATATGAACATGGTGCCAGCTGGTGTGAAGCTAACATACAGGCTCCGGTATCCATCTAGGGAGAGGTGCTTTGATACCAATTGATACCCTTCACACACAACACGTTAATGTATGACCAGGTATCTGAGCAGCTGTTTGACGTAGGCATCACCAGGAGAAGCAAGTGGTGCCACAAGAAGAAAAAGGGACTGAAAGGCCTATGCAACATGACCCAGGACAATAACAGTCTCTCCAGCTCAGGATGGAAAACTGACCCCTTTTATAATGAGCGGCACGGAACTGTTGGGACTCACCCATCCACCCAGCCTGCAGAGAGCCCAGGAGTGCCATGCAGAGCACTTGTGACGGACAAGGAGCATCAGCTCCAAGAACTGGGTGAACTGTCAGTATGAGGAGTCAGAATGGGAGACGACAGGCGTATTACAGGGATCTCTTCCTGGGGACGGAGATAGTTTGGGAGGAGGAGGAATTGGGCCACAGGTATGCAGCTTTTTATTGTACTATCTACCACTGGGGTCTGATTTTGCGGGTTGGGGGCTGGAGAAGTTTTCTGAAATGTTCTGAACGCCGCCATTGATGATTGTAAATGGGCAGATACAGGCTCACAAGAGGGAAGAAGTGTTCACCTCTTTCCCGCTCCACTAGTCCCTGTTCTCTCCTCACTCAGCCACACTGGGACATTTGGCAGCTGCAAGTCCCTCCCTTGCCTGCCCAGTTCAGTCCACCATTATTCCCCAACTGTGGCATCTCCTCATTGAAAGACCAGGGTTAGCTACATGGTCTGCTCTTCCCAGTTAGCACAGAAATACTCAGTTGTGTGGCTGCACTCAAATGGGTAGAATAGCAGGGGGAAAACTTCAGAAGAGCACAGAAACCATAATAAAAGTGAGAATGTTGTTGTTGTTGTTTCAAGTACAGTAACTCCTCACTTAACGTCCTCCTGCTTAATGTTGTTTCGAAGTTACATCGCTACTCCATTAGGGAACATACGCGTGTAAAGTTGTGCACTGCTCCCTTATAACGTTGTCTGGCTGACTTTACAAGGGAGCGTTGCACAAGTTCCTCTTCTCCACCTCCTCCCACCCTCCCAGCACTTCCCCCGCCGCCAAACAGCTGTTTGGTGGCACTTAGGACTTTCTGGGAGGGAGGGAGCAAGCGGGGAAGCTGCCCCTCCTCCCCCTCTCGGCAGACAGGACCACCCGGAATGCAGGGGCTTTAGGGGCTGCAGGGCCCTGGGCTAAGGGGGCCCTGGCCTGCAGCTCTAAAGCCCCTTTCGGAATGCGGCCCTGCGAGCACAGGCTGGAGGACTCAAGAGGAGCAGGGGCAGCCGCACAGCCAGCGGCTGGAGAGAAGTGGCGCTTTCCCCTTCAAAGCGTCGCTTCTCTCCAGCTGGCTTTGAAGGGGAAAGTGCCGCTTCTCTCTGGCCGCTGGCTGCATTTTTCAGGAACATAACTACAGTGTTAAGTGAGGAGTTACTGTAGGCAAATATCAAGTACTACAGTCGTTGCATTTACATGTCATTGTATTGCTGCCCCTCCTGCAGGACTATGGCAACTGATTAATACACGTTTCTTATATCATTCTGTTCTGCCATTTAATGCATGAAAAACAATCCTACCTTGCAAAGTGATGCAAAAATAATACAGGCCATGATATCTAAGTACACAGCCTGTTCCCTGCTGATTTGAGATATGCAGTGCAATTCTTTTAATCCAGTGGAGATACCGGGGTAGTTCAGTTTAGCCTTTATTTTCTCCCAATTTTCAGGATTAATATCTGAAAACCTTTCCCAGCCGTCATCCAACCCTGCAGTCAAGCGTTGTGGTAGAGATAGCTGCCCCCGAAGCTCACCCTCCCTCCATTCAGAAAGTCACCCTTCTCATCCACGCCAACAGTTCTGCTACAGAGCTCAAGCTTTTCCTCCTGCTCAGATGTTGCTTTTCTTTTTGTGCCCAGGACCCTTTGCAAAATGATGTTTTTGATGTTCTGCAATAAGTAATCTTTGCTAGCTGGATTCCAGTGACCACCTCCTGGCCCCATTCCCTTCATCTCATTAGCACGTTAATCCTCCCTCCCCACCCACCCATATTCTTATAAGTGGGGTGTGAATTCTGCTATATCTTTAACATCTCTGGGTGGAGGAAGAAAGCGCCTCGCTTTCAGTTCCAAACTGAACATAAATGGTCACTTGTACCAAATCCCTTGATACTAGGAGAGCTAGATGGGCTATTGCTGTGGTTATTAACTTCCCTTTCTTTTTTTTCATTTCAGTGCCTTTACAGCCATATGGACATGCCCAAACAGGGATGGGCAGGTGCATTAGCTCCCCGGTGAGAAAGTTTCAGGTCCTGGAAAAGGAAGTGCGGAGAAGACCTGTGTGAACAGGGACTCTGGCCCCTCCTTGAACTTGTACAAGTATTTAAAGAGGCTCCTCTCAGAACGCGTGTAGGCTGAGCAGGACAGGGGACTTACGTAAGGCTTTTGCCGGAGCGCGAGAGATGTGAATGGAGGAGGCAGGGCCTAGACGGGCAGGGCTCAGGAAAAACTGCCTGCCAAGTTGACACCATCTGGTCTTGGCAGCCATGCCTTCCCCTCCTGCCCAACACCACTGGGGCCCTGTACCACCACAGCCATTCTCAGGCACCCCACTCTTTTATAAGACTGTGGAAAGGAGAGCTGGAGCCCAAAAGCAAGGCACTATCAGGAACCTCAGCATGCTCGCTCTAGCCGGTTGTGGTGTAACTCTGGTGACTTGTTTTAGTATTGCAGAAGACCTGCAGCCTTGTTTGTATTTAATAAAGTTGTGGAAAAGCATCTGTGATTTCAATACCCAGAATACTGTCCTTTATCCCCACAAGCCACTCCTCGTGCTCCTTTGCCAAAGGGAATGCACACCACCACCACATCACAAGTCTCTGGACTGGTGCGTCTGGCCTGTCTGTACCCCAACAGCGCACTTCTCCATCAGTCCCCTAAGAGGCTAGGTCAGTGTAATAGGGTAGGAGCTTAATGAGGGGTCTAAAAAAGTAGCG